GTGAGTATATCTTACATGACCCAAATACTACTGAGGAAGGCACAGGTTTTGGAGTAACACTTGTAATGTAAGTAATGTTTATTAGTAATCAAAAAACTGTGTGTTTGAACATCCTTCCCTTAGATGTGTGTCAGAAGTTCATTCTAGTACACATTACTTATTTGTGATCAAATAAGGTTGATTCTCACTCTGGGCACTCTCACTTTATAGTGAGTAATCCCTAAGCATGCATAAAAGTGTCTACTCATTCAGAAGATAGATAGTCTTACTGTTAAGTCTATTGAATGTAAGTTAACCTTCCTGATACTAGACTATTACCAGACACTAGAAGGAAGAATCACAGATATTCTCTTAATTAGAGTCCTGGCTCTCTACAACAACAGTAATAATGTTCTATCTGTGTTTATAGGAAGTTGACTGCTACTAAAATTGTGTAGATAGACGACTAAGCCTTCTCCTCAAAAGTATTTTTGCTTTCATTAGAATGGCTAGCTTTGGCCTTTTGATTTACTGTACATTTTCTGCAGGTGGTGAGTATTGAATCTATACCAGTTATTCTGATATTAACTGTATTACAGCTAAAGTTACTAGATTCTCGAATAACATAACTACCTGCATTTTTGGAAGACATACTATTCATCAAATGATGGCTGTATTGTATGCTGGTCCTTTTCTTTATAGCTTACTCTAATGTCTTGACAGAATAATACCTATAGTTGAGGAGATGGCTTTACTCACTCTTGCTCTTTACAAGGCATACGAGTATCTCAAGTCTTCTCTGGGTGCCAAAGGCATTCATCTTGTACAGGTCTGTGTTGAGGACCAAGCCCAGTATTATGTTTTGTAAGAAAATTGTAACGTTTCAAGGTGATCTGACTGACTGAGTGAATGCAGTGTTGTCGTGTTTTGCGCTGTAAGGCTAGGATACCTCTTTATCACTGATACATTTGCTGCGAATGTTCTGAATGCGGCCGGGAGCCCAGCTATCCTGTGCATACTTGGAAGCCGACTTCTGGTCAATCTAAAAGAGGCGGGTGAGAAGGGTGCAAACAGAGGGGTGACAGACGAGTTGACAACGATTAGTGATATGCAGTTCTCGTAGACTACGTTACTCAATTTTATCCAATTGAAACTAGATTCGCGAAACGGGTCTATTCCAGAGCTTAGCATAAAATACAAAGGTGTGTAAAGAAGGCGAAGCTTTACTTGCCGAGAAAGGCAAGACGCGCTAATAAATAAGATTCAGCCTTCGAGTCGCGTAATACTAATAAGCCACCGTGACAGCGACGCGTCTTTCGTGAAAACCAGTTTTGATCTTGTTTTCCACCCCCACTGCCTGTCGCCTGCCTCAACAACAACAGCAAAAGAGTATCATCAAGTCAGCAGCGCATCAAGGGCAAGTGCAAGATGGCACGCGCGACGAGAAGCAGTGCGCGAAAACGCGAGAGTGCCTCAACAACTGGAACGCCAACCACTGCGATGAGCACGAGTGTCTCGCCTATCTTCAGTGCCAACACGTCCACTATCTCTCTTACTCCGCCAACATCTGAGGACGAGAAACAGTCCAGCAAGACCAGTGAAAAGGAAAATCGAGAAGAAAACGCAAAAACGCGCCGCTCGGCTCGAACGCGTGCGGTAACTCTTGGAAAGCGTACAAAGGAGCAGGCTGACTGTGGATTGGGCGACGATGATGACGATGATGAGGTTATTTTATCTCCCCAGAGAAAGAAGCGAACTACCTCTGTCGTCCAGAACCGAGCATATGTGGAGATTGCCGTGAAGGGTCCTGTTACGAGGCCGGCCAAAGTAAATATTCTTATTTTTTTTCCCTGCGTAGCCCGTTCTGAACTTTTTCTTTCATTCTCTCTGCTTTCTTATCTCTGCCGTCATAAGTCAAATACGGGGTTAAAACGAAAGAGAGGGTCAGGTAAAAGTGCCCATCAAACTTCGCGAACGCCAGTTAACGTACCGGAGGACGAGGACGAAGAACTCGTGTCGGAAGATGAAGTCGATTTCGACGAGAACGTCGACCTGTATGAATCAGATGACAGTGGTTCAAATTTCGAAGCTTCTGATAACGACGATGAAGAGGATGAAGACTTTGACGACGTTCGATCTACAAGGAACGCGCCCAAGGCCGTCATCGCTCCTTCTGAAGACCAAGGTCTGTCTGATGAGGAAGCTGAAGCGCAAATGCTTGGGCTTGCAATTGAGCTGTCAAAGCAAACTGCCAAAGAGGACGAGGATACTCGCGCCCTTCTCAACCCATCTATGTCTGGTCCATCTTCCGCGTCTGCTTTACGCGCTGCCGCTGCAGAACGCCGGCGCGCGAAGGCCAGCGTGTCTACATTCGATTTCGAAGCCATCGACCATATTTCATTGCTAGACTCTGAGGTGGAGGCTATCTCTTCGGATGAAGAACCTCTAGCGAAAGGCAAAGGCAAAGGCAAAGGCAAAGGCAAAGGCAAGAAAAACATGAAGACAACGACGAGGGGCAAGGGTCAAGGCAAGGCCGCTGCTGTCGACACAGCTTTATTTGCGTCGTTGGCAGACGTACGGGCGGCGAGACGATCTGCAGCTGCGGAACGTCGCGCTCAGAAACGTGCAAATAGGTCCGAAGAAGCTGAGCTGCGTAGAAAACTGGGTCGCAAGCTGACCGCTGCCGAGAAAACGACAATCGCGTTACAAAGGCACCACCCCGAACTACGTGACGTCTGGGGAGATCTCGAGACGCGTGTCAAGCCTATCACCCCGATCAAGGCAGACCAACCAGAGGAGCTTAAAATTGATTTGCTGCCGTTCCAATTGGAGAGCTTGTACTGGATGCGGGAGCAAGAGAAAGGGGAATGGCATGGTGGAATGCTGGCGGTGAGTACTTCACATTATGAACTGCATTATTAGGAACTCATCCGTTGTATAGGACGAAATGGGGTAAGACTTATTTTGTTTGAGGCAAATACAGATGTTTATTCTCTTACTCTGACCTTCAGAATGGGAAAGACTATCCAGACTTTGGCTCTCCTTGCGACAGACGGCAAGAAGCCGAATCTGATTGTTGCGTACGTCCTCAACCAGTCTCCATCCCACTTATGTACTTATTTTCTTACGTAGTCCGACGGTCGCTATCATGCAATGGAGGAATGAAATCGAGGCATACACTGATGGAATGAAAATTGCTATATGGCATGGTGCTTCACGCGAAGCAAACGTAAAGGAATTGCAGAAATACGACGTCGTCAGTATCACCACTGTTCGTATATGATCTGAGGCTGAAGCATGTTCGTTCTTTGAATAGGTACTCACAACATATGCCGTACTGGAAAGCGCTTTTCGGAAGCAACAAAGTGGCTTCAAACGAGGTGGAAAGATAATAAAAGAAAAATCGCCTGTGCACCAGATTATGTGGAACAGGATCGTGGTAGGTTATGTGACATTGCTGGTGCTTTGTTATTCTGATAATTACTTGCCCAGCTTGACGAGGCACACAATATTAAGGAACGCTCAACAAACACTGCGAAGGCCGCCTTCGAGCTACAGTGAGTCTCACGGTGCCGTTCATTACCATATTATCTAATACCCGCGTTCTTCATCCAGGAGCAACTACAAGTGGTGTTTGTCGGGAACTCCGCTGCAAAATCGTGTTGGAGAGCTTTACAGTCTCGTTAGATTCCTCGGTGGAGATCCATTCTCCTATTACTTCTGTTAGTTTCATGGGCTACACGATTTACTGTCGCTAACGAATTTCATTGTTCAGGCAAAAAATGCGAATGCAAATCTCTTCACTGGCGGTTCACTGATAAAAGGTCTTGTGATGGTAAGTCACACTTCAGTAGCTTCTCGCCAGTAAGTCCTTATGGCTCCTCATGTACAGAATGCGGCCACAACCCTATGCAACACGTATGTCGCAAATTTTGTTTCGGTATCGACTTCCCTTACCGTTCAATACAGACTTGCTTTTGGAATAACGAGATTCTTACACCTATTCAAAAACATGGCATGGCTTTTACTGGTCGTGCGGCTTTCAAGAAGTTGCGAATCTTGCTTGATAGAATGATGTTGCGTCGAACTAAGGTGGTTATTCTTCAATGGTTGCTCTGTGACTCTTGCTTACTGATATTTAGCTTGAACGGGCGGATGATCTTGGCCTACCACCTCGCACCGTCATCGTTCGTCGTGACTATTTCAGTGAAGAAGAGAAAGAGCTATATCAGTCGCTCTTTACCGATGCTAAGCGGGCGTTCAGCACCTATGTTGATCAGGGCACACTCTTGAACAGTGAGTATGGATGCCCCTAACGGGTCAATGGAAGCTAATTACTCCACAGATTATTCGAATATCTTCAGCTTGTAAGTGATGTTAATTTGAACGCAATAATGTTATTTGATTTTGTCTTTTAGAATTACGAGAATGAGACAAATGGCTTGTCATGTAAGTTTCCCCAGGACTCGGAAAGCCTGCGTCCTGCCTAACTACTTCTGATCTCGTAGCCCGATTTGGTGTTGAAGAGTAAGCAGAACGCAAAGAAATTCTCGTTGGACGACATGGGAGAGGCCACTGTTTGCCGGCTTTGCAATGATATTGCGGAAGATGCAATCCAGTCGAAGTGCAGACATATATTTGTAAGTTTAGCGATGTTTATCAGACCCAGCGCATGACATAAATATATAACGACAGGATCGCGAGTGCATTAAGCAGTATATCAATACTTCTGTGGAGAGAATGGTACGTCTTCTTGATTGTTACACATCCTTCTCTTGGAAATTACGAAAAATATTGACCATTGTTCCCAGCCCGCGTGTCCGGTTTGCCACATCCCGATAACGATCGACCTGGACGCTCCAGCTCTTGAAATTAACGAGGGCATCTCTACTACCGCGCGGCAGGGTATACTCGGTCGACTCGATATCGACAAATGGCGCTCCTCGTCGAAGATTGAGGCGCTCGTTGAAGAACTCACGAACCTCAGGCAGAAGGATGCGACAACTAAGTCGATTGTCTTCTCGCAGTTCGTGAATTTCTTGGATTTGATTGCATTTAGACTCCAGAGAGCCGGATTCACAGTATGTAATCTACCCAACTTCTTTGAAGTGAGGATTGAACTGCGTCAATAGATTTGTCGCCTTGAGGGAACGATGTCGCCTCAAGCTAGAGACGCAACTATCAAGCATTTCAGTAAGTATAACTCCGTTTCTTGCTGCCGAGTACGCAAACTCTTAACCACAATACAGTGAACAACGTCCACGTCACTGTCTTCCTCGTTAGTCTCAAAGCGGGGGGCGTCGCTCTCAACTTGACTGAAGCTTCGCGTGTGTACCTGATGGACAGCTGGTGGAACCCAGCAGTTGAATTCCGTACGTCTTCCTCTCTTCGCCTAGTCGCCTTCATATTTCGATCCGGATAAGAATGATTGCGTACTGATGAGCTACGTGAATTGCAGAGGCGATGGACCGTATCCACCGTTTGGGCCAACACCGACCCGTCGAAGCTATCAAGCTCGTCATCGAGGATAGTATCGAATCACGTATCGTCCAGCTGCAAGAGAAGAAATCCGCTATGATCAATGCAACGCTGTCGACGGATGATAGTGCGATGGGGAGGTTGACTCCCGAGGATGTAAGTATTTTCCAGAGTAACTCCGGATGTAACGGATATTAATGGAATGTTTTCCTCGTTTCCTCCAGTTGAGTTTCTTGTTCCGCGTGAGTACCCACTTCGTCTCTTTCACCTTGAGGCCTGCTAATAACCTTTCACAGCTATAACAAAATTCTGCGTGCAATACCAGAGTTTCATTATTCTTCATATAAACTGTTTTGCCCCATTCTTCAAGGCTTCTTTTCTTGTCACTGCAGGAGCAGCTTCTTAACATACAGCGTTTTACTGATGAACTCCATCATAAGAATTGATTGCTCAAGTTGATTCCGTGCCTAGTCTGTGTGTACATAGTCTATCAAATGTCTTGGGGTTGATTACACTAGAAATACAGTACAGCATATAAATATTCAAGTATCCCAGTAAACTCAGGGATTATGTTCCTGTGAAGGAGCAGGAGTAGATTCGGGTTCAGGAGAAGCAGAACTTGACCTATCGTTCATTTCCGATGGCTCGATGCCATTAACAAGTGTGTGATATTTGAGCTCTGTTGCGGGAGCGTCGCGGTGGCGGATACGAGAGTTCTGTGGCATATCATCTACAACATCCGGCTCATCGCCTTCTTCGTGCTCTTCATGCTCTTCATGCTCTTCATGCTCTTCATGTGAAGATTCGGACGAGTCAGAGTCGGAAGCGTCTGAATCGTCCATGTCGGCATCTTCGTTTGATTCCTTTTTCACTCCATCCGGTTTTCCTATAGGATGACAAGAAATCAACTCGCTGTGCTTAGGATGTGGAACAGTGCGTGGGAAATGAAACATACTGTCGGCTGCACTAGGCCCGTCTCTTAATAAACTCGCAAGAGAATGTCGGATGCTCGCACTGAACGAAGGGTCTTTGAGAGCTGATAGGTCCGCTACTGCTCTTTGGACAAGTGGGAACCTATCCGTGAAGGGGGAAATGTTACCACACACTTAGAAAGAAGAAAGGGTGGACGTACCGGTCCATATCCTGCATGAGTTCACTATGCACCGACTCAGCGGGTAGGTACTGTAACCTCTCGTCTTCTGCGAGTCGTTGGAGTATGATATCGCGTACGCGGGAAGTGAAGGTTGTTATTGATTCCTTTTATGCATTAATATAGCACATAAATTAAAAGATCAGCATGCATAAATGAGATAAAGGAATGAAAGTGAAGAGACGTACATCGTTCTTGAATTGGGTGAGCAACTCGCGTCGGAGACGATCAAACTCGCCGGACTTCTTGAATCTAAGTACATTACCATCTTTAAACGAAGGTTCGGAGGGTTTGGCTCACTCGTTTACTAGTTGTTCCGGGTCTGTGATACTCATGACTTGATATCCAGGCAAGAGAATATGCAGGTCGTGGCAGTATTGAGTGAGACGCGTTTCGCCGCTCGCGTGAGTGTGGACCGCGTAGGGTGCGAACTTTCTCACGGCCGCATACACACTCCTCAATCACCTTCATCGCATTCGCCAGCATCTACGTTCTTAAATTCCACGTTGGCGACACGTACACGTACGACGAACGTGAGGTACTCCTCAATAATCGAGTTGACTCACTCTCTACTGGTGCTTTCGCTTCGCTATCCGACCTATACCGATCGACACATTCATTCATCATGGACTTGGACGCTAACTTCCCGCCGTTGAAGAACGACCTCTTGCTTCGGGCTGCACGAGGTCAGCTCTGCATGATCTCGAAGGGGTCTTAAGTAACTTAAAGTGTAAATTATATCCATTCAGGAGAACCGACCGAACGTGCTCCAGTATGGGTTATGCGTCAAGCAGGACGTTATCTTCCTGGTACGTATCTCTTACCCATCTCCTTTTAGTTGATACTAATAAGTCCATGGTGTGCAGAATTCCAAGAAGTCAGAAAAGATCACGAATTCTTCGAAGTCTGCCGTACTCCAGAACTTGCGACCGAAGTCACTCTCCAGCCCATCCGCCGATACAAAGGTCTACTCGACGCAGCCATCATCTTCTCTGATATCCTTGTCGTGCCTCAAGCAATGGGTATGGAAGTCCTCATGAATCCCGGTCCCTTCTTCCCATCCCCTCTCACATCACCCTCCGACATCCCCAAAATGCTCAAAGAAAAAGTCGATGTCAACGTTGATCTGAAATATGTTTTCGACGCGATCTCTCTCACAAGAAAGGAGCTGGGCGGGGAAGTACCCTTGATCGGATTCTGTGGTGCGCCTTGGACGCTGTTTGCGTATATGATTGAAGGTGGGGGAGGAAGCAAGAGCTTCACTAAGGCGAAGAAGTGGCTGTATATGTATCCTGAAGAGTCAAAGGAGCTACTTATGCGTATTGCGGATGTCTGTGCCGATTTCTTGATCGGTCAAGTCCTTGCTGGCGCTCAGGTAAATAATCCTTCATCGTACTTCTCCGCAACAGGAAACCCTTACTGAACTCGCTTTATTTCATTTTTAATTTTCATGAAGCTTCTGCAAGTATTCGATTCCTGGGCCTCCGAACTCTCCCCACATATCTACAGAGAGTTCTCCCTCCCCTCCCTAAGGCATATCTCGACACGCGTCAGGGCAGCACTCACGTTTCGTTTCCCCCACCTCTTCCCGCCTCCCCAAGCAGGTTGGAAACCCAAAAGTAAAATACCACTTACACTCTTTGCGAAGGGAGCGAACCAATCTCTCAGTGTCCTCGCTCTGGAGGCGGGGTATGACGTCCTCGGATTAGACTGGTTAGTGGATCCGAAGGATGCACGGCAAATGGTCAAGGTTAGTTTGAGTGAGGGACATGTTACCGCGTTACAGGGAAACCTCGACCCAGACGTGCTATATACAGGCCGAGAGGCAATCGAGAGGGAAGTGAAACGCATGTGTCTTGCCTTCCGCTCGGGCGGAGGTGCACTCGCAGCTCCATACGCATGGATCGCGAATCTTGGACACGGAATCACACCTGGCGTCGACCCAGAAGATATGCGGTTTTTCCTTGAATGTGTGCATAAGTATTCTTCGAAGGGTTACGTTCCGTGAAATTTCCATGTCGGTGAAACCCGAATCAGCTAGATAGCGCCCGCACCTACTTCAGCGCCTCGAGACTTGTTTCATTTTTGTGTTGTATCCAATGCGATCCATATGGTTTGAAGATATCTAGACGCTGAAGATGCTGCTTACCCAGATACAGTCACAGCATCTGAATGAAGGCCAAATCCTTACGTTCATCAAGCTGAAGCAGAAATGTTGCACCATATGCCATTATTCCCCGAGAAAAAGCCGAAGGCGACCAAGGAATGCAAATGTTCATTGACGCTTTCACACTCAGATCCCATTAATTGCATCGGCCGACACTGTTCGGCACTTATGGGGGCTGGAAAGAAATTCATTGTTGCCGAGAGTCTGTACCTTGACAACGCTGCTTGGCGTTATGTCTTGATAGAGAAAACCAGCGAGTATGTCCACGCTGAACCAGTACTATATTTTTCATGTATTAGCGCTAACAGAACAATATAAGAATGCTATGAGACCATCTTAACCACAAAACTGCACAGTATGCCTTCTTCTCTAGATCTCGTTCAAAGTCTCACAGACTCTAATGCTCAGTCTATCGCTCAAAGCTCTAGCACACCAACCACATTTGCATTAATCACTGGAAAGTACACTGCAGTAACTGTTTGTGCTATTTTAGTTTATGACATTGGTGAGTATGATAATACACTCTGGAACTGCTACATAAATGATGAGTATGTTTTAGGTATTACTCTTGACCAGGAGGTATTGTCTTTATAGATACAATATAATGTTATTGCTCACATGCTGCAAATTTTACAGGTCAAATACTTCTGGGTATGGATATGTTTGAGAATATTATTATAGTACTTACTTTAGGGATACAGTCTAATCCATGGACACTGCCAAGTTTAGCCTTCCTTTTGGTGCGAGTTTAAAAGTGTGGGCCAGCTCTTATGTATACTTATCAGCAGGTCAGAATCGTTACAGTGGAGTCATCGGGGCAATTAGTGGAATACTCGGTAAGTCTTATTATCAGGTTATAAACGACTAATCTAATAATACACGTAATAGTGTATACATTTGAAGAGTCATCAATTGCGTGAAGTCCAAATTGTAACTTGATAATCTCAATATTCTGAATATATCTTTTCCAGATGTATGTCTCAATCTGATATAAAGCCTTTCTCATCCTTATTTCAATTCAGGTCTACTCTCTTACTTGTTATCAACATTTATTAGTGTGTTTCTTAATTCTTCTATTGTTCTACTTACTCACTTGAGATAAGGTTGGATCACAGTGAATTTACTTGAATGTAGGATATCAGTCTTAATATCTATGTAAAACATGAGTCTAAAATTAGCTTTGCAGATATTGTACTTCTAAGAGTCCTGGCTCTCTATCATAATGGTGAGATTTATAAAGTGAACTATTGTAATTTCTAACATACAAATAGATAGAAGGGTGGCATTTCCCCTCAAAATTCACTTTGCTTTGTTAGCAATCACTTCTCTAACTCTTACAGTCTACTATACTGTATCTACAAGTTGTAAGTTTCCAGATCATATTCCTCTTTTGCTTGCTGAAATATATAATTTAGTCTTCTTTTCTGATGGAATTAGTGTTACAATGTGTACAATATGAGGAAGGGGATTTATACCAGTAATGTATGTTTGTACATTCATTAACAAACTGTTTCTAACTGACAATAGGGTAATACCATTATACCATGGGCTGGTTTTACTTACTCTTGCACTCTACAAATTACAAGAGTATCTGAAGCAATTTCATGGTTTCACATGTTCCCGGCTTGTCACGGTTCTTGTTCAGGATAACGTCAAGTATTATTTTTTGTAAGACATCTCGCTTCTGCATCCGTAACTTCCTATGCTCAGTCCACGATTACAGTATTGCGCTACATGACATGGCTCACATTGTCCACCTTTGCAACCCTGTTTTGAGCCCTTTCACGGAAATCCTTGTTGGCTTCTTTGCTCGGCAAAGCACTCTGAACATTGCTGGAAACCGACTTATGATCAATCTCAAAATCTCAAAAGGACTGCGGAGAAGAGCGCGAATGGAGGGGTAACAGACAGAATATAGGAGATGATATGTGCTTCTGTCAAAAGGTTCTACACCACTTCTTTATGACAATAATTACAGTGGCTAGCGTGTCCAGTAGATGTATCCTTTGATAAAGACGCTTGTTTCCACACATGCACCTCGATTGCGACAGGTAGTAGTTCATAGTCTCGGATGTAAAGGGTAATATGTGCAGCGTGTTTATGCTCGCGAACGTGCATACAAAGCTTTTTTCCTGTGTGCACTGCTGAGCATGCATATCAGTATCACTCAAGTAGTAAGTGCAGATGTATACAGTAAGAAAGGTAAAGGCGAAAGGGAATGGGATAGCTTTCGAATCGCATCATTACATGTCCTTAACTTTGTTTAGGTTTGTGATGTCTAGTCAATAATATGATAGAAGTTGAGGGAGGGAGGGTGGAAAAGCTGTACTAAGGTGAAGATGTGGTTTTACAGTGTATGTACTTTGAGCTACTTATGTACATTGCAAACCCCTCTATCTGCCTTATTTTCCTTTAATATGTTATTGAAGACCTACAAACTCATAATCTCTGAACTCTCACATACTCACATCTCAATGCTTGTCTGTGCATTTGATGTGCTTTGCTTCCTCACATCCTCTTTCTATTACAGATGCATTGCAAAGGTAAAAGCAAAATTCCACTCACAGTCTTTGTGCAGGGGTGAGTAGCTACTCTGCAACCCCGAAAAAGACTTGTTGAGCCAAGGGATGCGCGACAAATTGTCAGGGTTGATTCTGATAAAGAAGGCAACATTATATTGAAAGGGAATCTTGATCCAGGCGTGTTATGTAAAAGGCTTATCGAACAAGTAGTCAAACACAGGTGCCTTGTTCAAACAGAGATACAACCTCAGCTATAAGCTCATGGACTGTGAATCTCGGACATGAAGTCACACTTGGTGTCAACTCGACAGATATGTGCTTCCTCCTTGAATGTGTGTATAAGTATTTTCTCAGAGAATTATGTTCAGAGATGCTGACAGGAGATGGCACATACATATCCACATTATAGTTTTACATCTGTGTGTACTACTCAGAGCTTGTCTATTAATTGATATAATAATGTAATGAATTCAAGATATCTAGACGCTGGCAATGCTGTCCACTACAACACGGTCGCTTCCAAAGGCCAAAATTTCCGGTAACGGAACTGAAGCATAAATGTTGCATTTTGCACTGGAATTCTTGAAAGAGCCGAAGAAGACAAAAAAATTACAATCAATCATTAATTCTTTGTAAATACAAGTCTATCAATAAAATTGTAGCGGGTATAAGAAGAGGCTGTCTCTAAGCACAGTAATTATAATCACACAGAATATTCAATGCTCTCTCCTCTTAATCTTGATCAAAACCTAGCCTTCCCAAGTGCTCTATCTACTACTCAAAGCCTTGACCCACTAGTTATATCTACATTTACTATTGCAAAATATTATGCAGTAGCAATTTTTATTACAGTACTTTATGACACTGGTGAGTGATATAATTCATATAGGCAGTACTATGTAAATCACAAGTATCCTTAGTCATTACTTTAGATCAAGAGGTACAGTACTTGTAGGTGCAAAATATTGTGTCACTACTAACAATCTGTATATTTATAGACTAAATTCTTTTGGGTATGAAAAAAAAACCTATTGCTACTGAGCTAATTCTGTAATACAGTCTAATTTGTGGACACTCCCAAGTTTGGTCTTTGTTTTGGTAAAAATTTAAGAATTAATAGGGACTATTGTACATCTGACAACAGTTTAGAATAGATATAGTGGAATTGTTGGAGCAATTGCCAACTTACTGAGTGAGTCCCATACTCAGTTTTGAGTGATTAAATCTAAGAGTAATATTAAACAGATCATGCTTTTGGAGAAACTTCTAAAATGTAATACAAATTTGAAGTATAAAAATGCTGTAATCTTACCATTCTAATTAACTTTTTATAGCTGTATGATTTTATACAATAGTATCTTCTCCTTTCTCACTATTCTCATATAGGTCAATATTCTTTTATAGTAACATTAGTTACAAGTATGTTGCTCTATACTCTAGTTTACTTTGTTCACTAATTTAGAGATCAGGTTGGCTTATTATAGCTTCAGTTGAATGTAAGATATAACTCTTTTTACCTGCTTTATATTAATCAAATTACAGTTATTTTACTCCTCAGAGTTTTAGCTCTGTATAATAATAGTGAGTATTTGTCATTAAAGAGTTTATTAGTTTTACTCATATTCATGTAAATAGAAAAGAGGATGAAAATCTGCCTTGAACTGGCCTTGACATTATCATGGGTCTCTTCTTTTAGCCTTATGGTTTACTATAGTGTATCTATGAGCAGTAAGTTGTTTGTCAAATTTTCCTACTTTACTAAATGTTGAATTATATTAGGTCACCTTCATCCATTTGCTACTGGTATTACAATGTGTACAACAGAAGGCAGTTCACCAAAAATAATAATAGCTTGCCTGTATGTTCATATCTGTATGAAAAGGCTTGTTCTGACTTGTAACAGGGCAATCGCGCTAGTGCACGGACTAGTTTCACTTACTCTTGCACTCTATAAAGCACAAGAATACCTAAAGCAAAAAGGAAGCGTAACGTGTGTTCAGCTCGTCAAGATCGTTGTGCAGGATCATATCAAATACTTCTTCTTGTAAGAAGCCACTCTATGTCCATAGCCATCTACACTGATTTGTCTATCACAGTATCATTCTTTATTGCATCGCAAATCTTGTCTCTTTTTCTGACACTGGTTTGAGTCCTGCAATTGCGCTCGTCATTGGCTTCGTGGGTAGCCAAACCATGCTGAGTATTGTTGGAAGCCGAATTTTGATCAATCTCAAAGAGGCTGGAGAGAAAGGTGCAAATGGAGGTTCCACCGACTGTTTTGGAACAATTAGTGATATGCAGTTCTCGTAGTATTGTCTATGCCTCTTCCTTGTCACTTTACGATAATAGTTATGTGGTACGGCGAAGGGATTCTTAAATAAAAGCTGTTGCTCTTGCGCAAGCGTCTTGACTCCGATAGAAAGCTCGTAGTTTAGATGTAGTGAATCATATATGTAGGATGTCCTATGCTCATAAACGTGCATACAAAGCTTTTGTCTCTGTGAGTGCTGCTGAAAGTGCATAGCAATACTACTCGAGTAAATGTAGTTGTATACAGTAAGAAAGATAAAGACGAAAGTACAGGGTAACTTTTGAGTTCCGTCTTTACGTGTCCTTGGTCTTGACTGTACCACGAAGGAGACCAGTCTGTTGGGAAAGTAGGGGTGAGATGAAAGAGAAGATTCAAGATTATGGGAAGGACAACGAACCCTGCGTGCGGCGATGAGACCGACTTTCTGACCGGGTACGGCAGAGCGAGCGATAGTGGAAGCCTTCCCGATGTGCTGGTGGTTACCACCACCGTGAGGATGGTCGACCGGGTTCATAGCAACACCACGAGTACGAGGCCAGCTAAAAGTGTTAATTTAGTCGCTGTGCGATTAGAAGTGAAATTTGGAAGAAAAAACGTACTTGTAGCGCTTGGCCTTGTATTTGTGGTAAGCACGACCAGCTTTAAGGAGAGGCTTGTCGATTCGTCCACCACCGGCTACGATACCGACGGTTGCACGAGCGGAACCAGAAATGGTCTTCTTCGCACCAGATGGGAGACGAATACGAGTCTTGTTGTCCTCGCCCGAGTGACCAATGACAGTTGCGTAGTTACCCGATGTACGAGCGAGGGCACCACGGTCACCAACTTTCTCCTCAACGTTGCAAACAATTGTACCTTCAGGAAGTTGCGAGACTGGTAGAACGTTCCCAACAGTCAGAGCGGCTTTCTTGCCGCAGTAGACGAAAGCACCGGTGTGCATGCCCTCAGTTGCGATAAAGGTTTCGGTGCGGAGCTTGTAGCGGTAGGGGTCGCGGAAAACGACACGAGCCAGAGGTGCACCTCGTCCTGGGTCGTGAATGATTTCTTTTACGATTCCCCGGATGTAACCATTGCGCTCGGCATAGTCGAGGTTACGGAGCTTGGCGGGGGCTTTGTTGTGGTGCGTATGCGCCTTGAACTACAGAGGTGAATGAAGGTTAACATCCGTCCAGATTCAGGAAAGGATGTATGGGCAGATACATACGATGGCGTGCGATCGCCTCTGCGCACGGATAACGCGACCCATTGTTCACTATGGATGGAACGAAACGTTAGTTCAGAGTTCGAAATGATTGAGACCATTGATTTGCTGCTCGCTGTCCGTCATCTTCCACTTTTCGTCCATCCATTCAATCCTTGCCCATCCATCCTCCCTCATCGATACCTCATCTCGATTCTCCTATTCCGTGACAAGGCAAACAGCAAGACAAGGCCCGGAAGCAGCAATCTGACCGTGAAATAGGCATGAATACTCACAAAGTGTTGACAGGTGTCTTGAGCGTTGTCCTGCAGATTCAACTGACAACTTCAGAACGTACGGTAGCACTTTCCAAATTAGGAAGTCAGGTCATGCATTCGACTCCGTCTCAATCCAGTGTATATTTCTTCGTCAAAACGCAGTCTTAAGAAATGAGAATAATTACTGGCGTTACGCTGAGAGGAGTGAATAAAGTGAGGTTAAGAAATACCAGTACAAGTAGGTAACCACTATGAATTTAAGATGTTTTCAAGATTATTTTATATATATCAAGTTTACTACATAGAACGAGATATTTCTTTGGTTTATGCAGCAACAGAATGGCCATAGCATACAGGAGCAGTAAAGCCAACAGCCTGTAATGACAGTATGTGGTAATGTAGATAGCTGAGACGACACCAAATGAAAATGTGCTCAGTACCATATAGTGTGCAAATCATTGAACAAGTGATGTGGGGGTTGCATTGTACTTGAGCCACCAATGATTAATTATTGCTACCTTTACTCACTCCCCCTCCCCCTCCCCCCACTTTGCTTGTATAACCTGTGTCAGATACTGCAATAATCTTTTCTTGTGAATTGGATTTTGTAGAGATTTGCTTATTTTTCCGGAATAGGAAGGTGGTGGCGAGGCGTGTGTTCCACGTTTGTCGCTCTTGCTCTCTCTAGCGCGTCAACTTGGACGCTCCTCCTCACCGCGTCCAACGTCGACCGCGTACCTCTCCTCACCCCTCACAATGCCCGACAATGAGCCCGCGTGTGACCCCCTATGCCAGTTTGGCGGTAGGTCAGTACGCCCTATCCTTTTTCTCGCGCAATATTCAACCAGTCGTGTGCCATGTTCATGAGCTGACCTCATAACACGCGTTTCTTTTCGTCTGGCAGGCTCTACTTCACAACCTTTCCTGACCCGGCTCCCGCGCAAAACGTGTTAAATTCCGAGTGTACCAACACGCGTGTCTTACCCGTCCGTGGCCAGTCGAACACATTCAACCAACGTCCAACGAATGAGAGCGCATACTTTTATTTCTTCACAATCGACGATCAGCTGCGCTACCTTTCGTTCTTCAAGGACTGGGGACCACTAAACATTTCGAAGGTGTATAAGGCGTGTATCCTGATACATGAGCTGTTGGAGGTGCGTCATTTCTTCGCGTCGTCTGATTCTGGTTGTATTGACCATGATGTGAAGGATGAGGAACTCAAGAAGCACAATCTCGTGTTATACACATCAGACTGCCCAATGAATAAGGCCAACTCTGCGCTGATAATGGCTCTTTATGTTGTACGTAGCTTAGGCCTTGTGTTGCTAGCGAATAGCTCATGACGATACAACGCGCAGATGATCGTGCAGAAAAAAGCACCTTGGGAGGCGTTCCAACCTCTAGCCGAACTGGAGTTCCGACCTTTTCGCGACGCAGGGCGAGGTTTCTCGGACTTCAACCTTAGCATCCAGGACTGTCTATGGGGAATGTGGAAGGCGATGCAGAATGGGCTGTGTGATATGAACGAGTTTGACGTGGAAGACTACGAGTTCTACGAGAAGGTCGAAAATGGTGATTGGAACTGGATAACGCCTGGATTTATAGCGTTCGCAAGCCCCGTGGAACATGGCTATGTGAACAATTCGTGTCGTTCACCCGAGGGTCCGTGTAGGTTGTCCGCGGCCACTAAAAAGTGTCTTGATTACTTTGATGCGCGGGGCGTCAAACTTGTCGTGCGGTTGAACAACAAGCTTTACGATAAGCAACATTTCCTGGATCGTGGTATCCGACACGAGGAGCTTTACTTCGATGATGGGACTAATCCCACTGATGAGATCGTACGAAAGTTCATTAACCTTTCGGATGAAGTGGTTGAATCTGGTGGAGCCGTCGCGGTACATGTACGTCGACCTTTCTTTTATCTCATTCAATATGTACAAGCTGACATACAATCAGTGTAAAGCTGGATTAGGGCGAACAGGTACTCTAATCGGAGCTTATCTGATATGGAAATACGGCTTCACTGCAAACGAGGCAATCGCATTCATGCGTATTATCCGACCAGGCAGCGTAGTAGGTCCACAGCAACAATACATGTACGTCAAGCAGATGGAATGGATAAAATGGTCTGCTGTGGACGAGATGCGCCGCGCGGAGGCCCAAGCTGCTGCTGCCATTGCGGCTGCGGCTGTTGTCACGCCTGCAACGCCTCCAGCGGAGACGGATGAGGAAGTGGAAATGAAGGAAACTGAGAGTGTGGCCGTTGCTGTTGTTGCGATGCCCTCAACCCCGAAGATGACCGTTCCACCTGTAACACCGAGTAAACATGTTACTGCTGCCACTGCGAGGACGCGCGCTATCGAGCCTCCAGGCCAACCTCGGAAAACACCGCTACAGAAGCGCACTGCCGAAGCTGCAGCTGTCGACGAGAGCGAAGAGTCGGAGGAGGATGAGATCAATGCGCTACCTTCTATCACAAGTACTCGTACTCGCGCGAAAACACAGTCGACTTTACCGTCGCGAACAATAGCGCGGCGCATACAGCCAGCCTCAGAACAACGTCCGGCACGGGTAACACGTTCTTCTGCCGCAGCAGCCGCAAACGGGATCCGAAGACCTGCTACCACTGCATCGACTGCTAACGTACCGTCCTCCCCAACAAAAGGGACTGGGAACGGTCCGAGTCCGAATAAGATTCCGCGTTTGGCACAGGTGAGAGCGAGTCCACCACCTACCACGCGGAGCACGACATCGATGGGTATGCGAACACGATTGCAAGCGCCTGCAGCATCTCGCCTTCCGACACTTGCAGCCAATGGGCGAAAGGCAAACGCCGCTTCTGGGACTGCAGTGAATGGAAAGGTGGAGAAAGGCAAGACTGGAGCTGGGAAAGGAGATGCTGGGAAAGATGCGAATCAACAATCAGATGCGTGGATGAAGACGAACTCGAGTGCGGTTGTTAAGCCTGGTACGAAGTCGGAGAGACCGGGGTTGAGAAGTGTGAGGAGACGAAGGAGCAGCTTTAGTGCTGCTGATGTCGTTGCTTGATTATTTTCTTCTTTTCTCATGGTTTCTATTTCATTTGTCTCTTTTTCTTTCTTGTGTAAAGCGTTTCCCGTTGCTTGGATTACCAACAGCAATCCCCATAGAATACCTGGAGCATCAAGTATCAAACATCATCATCATCTCAACCTTTCTTCTCTTGCTTTCTCTTGACTTTCTCGGTCCTCACGTCAGTGCGTTGTTCATGTGCATACCTTTAACGTTTTTATTTATCTCTCGTCCTCCACGTCTCTTGCTAGTCGTCTTGCTTTCGACCTGACCTTTTTTCTCTTTCTCTTCTTTATTCCTCTTACGATTGCAGCATACACACAAATGTCCCATCATCTCCCTTCCACTCACGCGATCAAGTTAAAGTTCACCTGTCTTGTCCATCTCTTTCCCCTTTTCCTCTCTACTTTTTTTTCTCTGTGCCGTCCTCCCACCAGACCAATGGATCTATCCACTTTGTTCCTTATCTTGCACTTTGCGTAAATATTATTGTACCGCTAGTCTCTTTCCTTCCCTCGCATATGTACTTAATAGATAGTATTGGTGCGAGGGGGTTTGGATTTGGATTCTGCTGCTGCAATGAGGCATATAGTGTATCTGTTCTGTGTCTACCCACACAAGGGGCAGTGATGCACAAGGCTTCACTGTAACGTATCGCCCGTTGAGAGAGGTTAATCTCCAGTAGCAGCTGTAGACACCCTTCGAAGCTGTATATTAGCACAATCTGAAGAACACTGCTGTACTCAATAACTACAGGTTAACAGTGGGAAAGTAAAGGCGTGCTGAGAATTTACAGGAAACATATGTCTCTGATTGCTCCCATCCTGTCTGAACAAGAACATTACTGTACTCGATAATTTCCGTTTACTTAATAATCGAAAGAGAGACGTGTAAACGATACTACGAAAACTGCATCTCACTGATTGTCCCAATACCGTCAGTTATCCACCCGTTTGCACTTTTCTCCACAGCCTCTCTGAGATTGATCAGAAGTCGATTTCCAACAATGCTCAGTGCACTTTGGCTACCCATGAAGTTGATAAGGAGTGCAATTGCAGGATTCAATCCAGAGGCTGACAAGGAGATAATGTTCGCGACACAAAATAGAACGATGCTGCAAATAGTTTATCAGCATAGCCTATTACAGATGCAAGTAATATTCTTACAAAAAATAGTACTTCATATGATCCCGAACAAGAATTTTGACAAGCCGAAAACATGTCAATTTGTTTGATTGTTTCAGATACTCGTGTGCTTTATAGAGTCCAAGTGTAAGCAAAACCAGCCCATGTAAGAGGTGTATTGCTCTAACATGATTTAGACACTGACAGGGTTTGTTTCTACATGCATGAGCTTACTGTAGAATCACTTGCACAAATTGTTTATGAAAGCTTCCTTGAGTGGTGCACATTGTAATACTGTTAGTGAACAGCCCATATGTGTCTATAAAGAATCATTACTAAGAAAATTCGAAAAAAAAAATATCAAGCAACTTACTATTCATGGGTACATAGTAATAGACTAGAAGTCCAAGACCAGCAATCATTGATACAGCAAAGTTTACTTTGAGAACAGTTTCCAGCCTTCTATCTATTCAGATATAAGTAAAAAATACTAGTGTTTTTTATTAAGAGAAACTTACTATTATAATAGAGAGCTACAACTCTGAGAAGTAAGATATCTGTGATCTTATCATTAAGTCCTTATTACTTGTAAACATTAAGTTTAATATCTTACACCTTACTAAAGCTATAGTGAGAAAATCTAGTTTTCTAATAAGTAAAATAAAAGTAAAGTTAAAGGATTAAGAAACATACTAGTAAATGATGATATTAAGGAGGAAAGTTGACCTAAGGCAGAGTAGTGAGAAATGAATAAATGCTACTATAAAAAACATACAGCTAGAAGAAAGTATTCAGAATAATCAAATTATAGAATTAGTGAATAAAATACTACATTCTAGAAGATTTTCCAAAAGCTTGATCTATTATATAGTATTTTTAAATTAATACTGGTTTACAGTCCTAGTAAGATAAAATATATTACTTACTTATTACATTTGCAACTGCTCCAATTACTCCAATGTATCTATTCTAAATTATTGTCAGATATATATAAGAGTGGTCTTTTAATCTTAAACTTGTACCAAAATGAAGACCAAACTTGGGATTGTCCACAGATTGGACTGTTGAATGAAGATTAGTACTTCAATAATATTCTCAAGTAGTTTCATACCCAAATGAATTTGATCTGGAATGTAAGGTATGTTAGTAATTATATAATAATATATTTACAAATCTCTATACCTCCTGGTCTAGTGTAATAACTAAGATATGTCTGTCAATTTTGCAACAGTTCAAAAAATATTGTACGACGTACTAATGTCATAGAACACTATGGCGAAAATTGCTATTGCATGATACCTTGCAATGTTAAATGCAGATATGGTTATTGTGTCAATGTGCTTGGCAATAGACAGAGTGTCAGAGCAATTCAGATTTTGAACACAATCTAGAGGAGATGGCATGCGCTGTACTTCTGCATGTACTTTGATGGATTTAGAGTCGGCCTCGTTACCTTCTTATACCTACTATCAATCGTTACAGTAGAGGTTCAATAGTAATATTTGTTTCAGATCGTCAGAATGCGGCTTTATCATCGGAAGGTCTTGGTTTAAAGGCAGTGAATGTATCCCGGCGGGCATCGTAAAGCCAAATACATTGTGTATTTGATTTTCGGTTCTGTCTGTCAACTCAAAGCACAACAAAACTCGAGACTGTGAAGCGGGAGTCTACGGGTGTCATTTGGTTGGTTCAGGCCTTGCCGGTGCAAACCGCTTCCAAGTAGCTCTAGTTATCTGCGAAACTCACGCTGTCCAGTCTGGTCATGCCGATGAACGCAAGTTAGTAATCACTGATTGGCCACGAAACCTCGTGTTTGAAGTAATCCTCCTTCGCCCGACGCAACATTTGAAATATCCGAAGGAGCCGGAGTGACTAAACCCAAATGTCAAATATCAAAATGGTGTGTACTGCATATTTAAGACAAGGAAAGCGAGTAACGGCCAAGAAATGTAAATCGGTGAAGATATCAGCACATAAATACGGAAGGAAAAGACGAAGACATGCCAACACGGACTGAAGACGAGAGAGACAATAAAATGACATAGAATGTGGACAGTGTAAAGAATAATATATGATGAGAGTGCTAGGCATAGGAGACTGTTTAAAAGTCGAACTCGTAAATAGAGGGGAAGGGGTAAGTGAGACAACTGAGCTCGTCGGTGCACATCATACTCTTTTTGGTAAGATAGAAGTCGAAAAGATCCACATGCATAGGACCATAAGGCATTGGAACAGAAAAAAGAGTAGGCTGAGAATAAGTGTCTTGTTCAATTGCACGTCCATACCAAATAAAAGACGGAAACCTTCAAAAAAGGGAAACCTGCCAATTACGACTCGGATAATCATAAATAGTATTTTCAGCTCAAGCGCTGATCTTCTTCGACTTCTCTTTCTTGTTCTCCTTGTCTTGCGGCAAACTTCACAGGTGTCAGGGCTGCAGTATCCTTTTTCGAAGCAGGTCTCTTAGGAGTCTGCTTTATGGCAGGAGCCCAGGGAGGAGCTTCATCGTTGTCGTCTTCCTCCGATGAAGAACCTTCGCATCTTATTTTTCTGTTCACACCGGGGGGAGGGGGCAGTGAGGCACGAGGCTTCACACTGTAACGTATTAATCACCAGTAGCAGCTGCAGCCCCCGCCGGGAAGCTTTAGATTGACATAATTTGAAGAACACTGCTGTACTTAATAACAACAGGTTTATAGCTGGAAAGTAAAGGTGTGCTGAAAATTGCGAGAATCATATTTTCTGATGCTCCCATCCTGTCTGCACAAGAACATTACTGTACTCGATAACTCCCGTTAAATAATTGCAACGGAGAGACTATACTATGCGAACCGCATATTGCTGATTGTTCCAATACCGTCAGTCATTCATCCGTTTGCACTTTTCTCTGCAGCTTCTCTGAGATTGATCAGAAGTCGATTTCCAACAATGCTCCGTGCATTTTGGTCACCCATGAAGTTGATCAGAAGTGTAATGGCAGGATTCAATCCAGGGGCAGACGAGGAGATAATATTTGGGACACAAAATAGAACGATGCTGCAAATAGTTTATCAGCATAGTCTATCACAGATGCAGGTAATATCCTTACGAGAAATAGTACTTCACATGATCCTGGACAAGGATTTTGACAATCTGAAAGCATAACAGGCCAGATGATTGTTCCAGATACTTCTGTGCTTTATAGAGTACAAGCATAAGCAAAACCAGCCCATGTAATAGTTGTATTGCACTAATATAAATTAGACAGGGTGTGTTTATACATGTATGAGCTATCTTACAGCTTTCTACAGACAGTTGTCTACACATAATAAAGCCCCCAATAACAATACATACATCTCAGCAATTAACCTTGCTACTCCTTGTGAGTATAGATGGGTAGCAACAATGCTAGACAGGCAGATTACCTATTATAATCAACTACCAACAGTTACAGTAGCTCAGAGAGACATTCTGACACCAGCTAAGTTGATACACAAATTACAAAACACATATACTGAGTATCATTCTCAGTACTCTCAAACAAAACAAGATTCTGAACAAGACAGCCTACAAACAAAAGGCAAAAGTGTAGCTAAAGGCAAAACAAAGCCTTACAATAAAGTTAAATGCTACAACTGTAATAAGTACAGGCATATGTCAAAAGACTGCCAAAATCCTCTAACAAGCAAAACAACAGAAGCTTGAAAGAAAAAGTATAGGCAAACAGCTACTGCTTCTACTACTGTTACTATACTGTCTCAACCTGCACTTAATGCAGCAGTATTCATTAAAGATGCTAATGAAACACTAATGCTAGAGTCTACAATTACAGAAGCCTCAGCATTAAGTTCTAGCAGCTTACCTGTTCAATCTGCTCTATCTACTGAATCTGACATATTTTCAGCATTTGAAGTACAAGAGGATGGTGTCATGCAAGTAGACAACTTCATGAACTCATTTGACAATATGAAAGAAGTCATTAAGGAGTTCAATTACAATCCAAACATATGTATCAACACAATACATTACAATGATACTGAACTAATACATTGTATTAATATATTAGACTCTGGTGCAAATGTACACACTACTCCATACTTGTTCTGTCTTACAAACGTTTGGAACTCAACCCTAATAAACGTTATGATTGCAAATAAATTGTCATTCACACTTAGCAAAAGTAGAGTAATGACATTTAACATAAAACTACAAGACAAAGCTGATGAGCATACAAAGGTGAATACAATTTCACTACAAAACATATACTATCATCCTAATCTGAACTTCACACTTGTTAGTGAAGCACTATTATGCAAAGCAGGATATGTTTTAACAAAAACAAACAATGAATGTATTATTTATTCTCCTACTCATACAAAGATTGGTGAAATACATGTACAAAATAACTTGTATATGATAGTTTCTCATCATAATAAATGATCTATTAACACAATCACTATTGTTGATTTACATTAACGAATGGGTCATGTTAATTTTGATTACTTGTACAAACTCATACAAGAGTATCCTGAGATTATAAGTCAAAGGATAACAGACAATAAAAATGCACAGTGTACAGATTGTATCAAAGCAAACATACAATACAATGAAATACCAAAAATACAAACAACACCTCTTACACAATCCTATAGAGATTATCTCCATATTGATATATGGGGACCTGCCCTAGTACAAGCTTACAGCAAGTATGAATATCTTTTTACCATTGTAGATAATGCTACACAATAGGTAACTATGCTACTTATGCAGTATAAAAGCAATGCTTTCACTGAATATGTAAAGCATACAATGAAACTCTTTACACAGTACAGTATAAGAGTTAAAACTCTCTAAAGTGATAACAATACAGTGTTCCTAAGTAAAGACTTTACTATATACATTGAAAGTCAAGGAATAATACATAGATTAACAGTACACAATACACTACAGCAGAACAGAGTTGCAGAATGTATACATAAGACTATCTTTAACAGTGTATGTACATGTCTGTTATCTGCAAAGTTACTTATGAAATTCTGGGTATATACAGTACAATATCAAACGTTTATTCATAACAGAACACTAAGAGTTGCTAGTAATTTCGCAACACCATATTACAAACAATATAACAAACATTATCAAATAGATAATATACAAGAATTCAGTGTATATTGTATCATACAGAACAAACAAACACATAAACTACAACCTAGAGGCCAACACACACAATAGCTAGGTTATGATAACAACAGTAAAGGTCACTTAGTGTGCTATGATAATAAAATTACTGTCAAACACAATGTACAATTCATAGACAAACCAATGTCTAGGATTGAAGGGGAGAATAATCATAACAATGATACATCAAACAATGATGAAACTCTTCCTAATAACAATAATAAAGATAAAGAACCTGTCATACAACACTCTACACAAGAGCAAAGACTGGTTAAACAAACTATAGGTTTAAATTACAAAGACAATATAAACCTAGCTATGTATCTAACAGAATTTAATGAATTCCTTAATGAAGTCTATAACAATCTATTAATGTATTACAATGCTATAACACGTATAGACAAAGAACAATGGATCAAAGCTATGAAGGATGAAATACAGTCACTTTAACAATGAAACACATGGATATATGCTATCCCCCCTACAAATACAAATGTAATTGGAACGAAATTTGTCTATAAAATCAAAAGACTGGCTAACAGCTGAATAGACAAATACAAAGCACAATTAGTAGTGTAAGGATATGCTCAAAAGAATGGAATAGACTTCTATTCTGACAACTTATTTGCTCTAGTAACAAAACTATCAACAGTATGATTATTGTTATCTTGGGCAGCATCTAAGAACTATGAAATACATCAGATAGATGTAAAATCCACATATCTTTACAGAGAATTAAATGAGGACAAACTCATTTACATGAAACTGCTGCCAGGCAGGCTACTTACAGATATTAAACCTGGACAGGTGTTACACTTAAATAAAGCATTATACAGATTGAAACAAGCAGGTAGATGATAGTACAAGAAGATTACCAAACTACTGCTTAAGATTGGATTAGAACAAGCTAATTATGATCACACTGTATTTTACAAGAAACAAAATAATAAAACAATTCTTGTAACATTTATGCACGTCAACAATATTACAATTATTAGCAAAAATATTACTATAATAACAGCATTTAAACATGCATTAAGACAACACGTTGCATTTACTGATAGTAACAAAATACATTAGTTACTTGGTATTGAAATAAGCTGAGATAGACCTCAACAAACAATTAGCTTACAGCAAAAGTATTATATTGAAAGTATAATCAAGCATTACCACTTCGAAAACAAAAAGGCACTACAAACACCTATTACTCCTAGAATAGATCTATCTAACAATACAAACAATATGTATGATATGAACGAAAGTAATAATGAAACAATGCCATACATGAATATGGTAGGATTGTTAAGATATGTTGCAGACTGTACACAGCCAGACATATCCTATATTACTGGGCAATTAGCATGCTACTTACAAAAGCCCTAAATGTATCACTACAAAGTAGTGAAACATTGCTTTGTGTATTTAAAATATACAATGAATTGTTGGCTTCAACTTGGAAGCATGAACACCTTAAAACTACAAGGCTATTGTGATGCAGACAGATGAATGACAGAAGGACATAAAGTAATAAACAGTTATGTCTTTCAATTAGCTAAATTGACCATATCTTGGTCAAGCAAACAGTAAAACCTGGTACCACTATCTGTTTACAAAGCAGAGTTGCAAGTACTAGTGTATGCTACTCAAGAAGCCATTTGGCTCAAATGATTTGCCAAAGAAGTACTGCAGACTGAATCAGCACCCATTACAATTTATTACAATAATCAAGGTGTAATAAAGACTGTAAAGTCTGACAAAATAATGTACAATGCTCACACTAAACATCTTGATTTACAAAAAGACTTTGTACAATGTTACATTCAAAACAAATACATTGATGTATGCTATGTTCAATCACAGAACCAATTAGCAGACATCCTTACAAAGGCTCTCCACATCCTACAGATCAAGCATCTAAATGAACTATTAGGCATACAGTCTTAGTTCTTAATTAATGCTTGAAGGGGAGTATTAGATTGTGCTCTGGATTAGGAAATCCCTAATTGCCTTATGTAGAATTACTACACTTGGAATGTCTCAGATTATCGGACTTTACTATGTAGTATATAAGGTAGATACTTGCTTGATGTCTCAATAAGAGAGAGTACTTGGGGCACTCCTGCTATGCTTGTTAAAATGCATAGTACTAGATTAACTAAAGAACACTAGGAGACAATTATAGTAAACATAATCCAATATATTACTTATATGCAGATTGTGTTATAATACATTATTCTTTGCAAAAGAAAAAGTGAAGAACAATAGTCATAACATACACACATATATATACACAATACTATGATCACAACAATTCACAACAACATTATTAATGATAAATAATACAAACACACATTAGTAATGATTTACAACAGATAACTATGTTGGCTATTAAAGAAACAACACAACAGATTGTATAGTTACTCAGGATGTATCAGAAACAATCAATTAACAAACATAATGTTAATAAATTAATACATAACTATAAACAATAATGTAAAGCAAACAAACAAACAATACATTCATGATATAATACATATACAATACACCTAGACACATAGTAAGATGCCTGCAGCCAGACATAACATCTATGCAACAAATATACATTAGCATAAAACCTTATTAATCTCAGAATAAAGCAATCTAGCAAAAACAAATATTATTATTAATATTACAATATACAATCAATGCAACACTTCAATCCAAAGACATAAATCAGCTATTACTGAATGCTTAACACATATACAAATGTAGACGAATGTAGACAGCAATGATTAAAGAAGGATATTATTACAACATTAAATATACATTTTACTAGCATGATTCATTAGTTTCACAACAAAGTAAAAGGAAATTACTAGAGTACTCAAACAAACTTAATAACAAATGATATGACTGAATAACAAACAATAAAACAAAACGAGCAATTGCATTTATGATTTAAATATGCACATATATGTACCTACACATGCTAACAAGATTCTGCAGGTCTCTGAAGCATTTACAAATTATTTAATAACATTTACAAACGATCTATTATAATAACAATGCTGTTATTGAACAGTATATTACAAACAAACAAACTAATTAAATATACTTAATCAATATAACATCGGACAAACTTAACACAAAGTGGATAACATTCGGAACAGACAGTACACAGAACAGACAATGCATTACTACAATGTTAATAATATTATTATTAACTACATCAAGTTATAAACGTGTTACACAAACGACCAATTGTACAATACAGTTATAATGATTAAACTATTTATACATACTGCAAGCAAACATCTTACAAGTCTACTAGACCTAGTAAGAGTTTGAAGGGGAGTGTTAAGACAAGACTACACAAGAGTATGTCTCAGATGATATAAACTACATTACAAGCAATGACGAACGATGATGGAATACCTTCCATCATACATTCTACATCTGAGACATACCTACATAGTATATATAGACTAACTAATCAACGGACGATGAAGCAAGCCGCGAGAGAGCAAGCCGAGTCCACTATCCCCCCTCTTTGTGTGATCCCTCTAAGCCTCTCACATAACCTCTCTTCCCCTTTCTTAACATCAACTTTCCTCATTGATATCAGTATTTACTAGTATGTTTTTTAATCCTTTAACTTTACTTTTATTTTACTTATTAGAAAACTAGATTTTCTCACTATAGCTTTAGTAAGCTGTAAGATAGCTCATACATGTATAAACACACCCTGTCTAATTTATATTAGTGCAATACAACTATTACATGGGCTGGTTTTGCTTATGCTTGTACTCTATAAAGCACAGAAGTATCTGGAACAATCATCTGGCCTGTTATGCTTTCAGATTGTCAAAATCCTTGTCCAGGATCATGTGAAGTACTATTTCTCGTAAGGATATTACCTGCATCTGTGATAGACTATGCTGATAAACTATTTGCAGCATCGTTCTATTTTGTGTCCCAAATATTATCTCCTCGTCTGCCCCTGGATTGAATCCTGCCATTACACTTCTGATCAACTTCATGGGTGACCAAAATGCACGGAGCATTGTTGGAAATCGACTTCTGATCAATCTCAGAGAAGCTGCAGAGAAAAGTGCAAACGGATGAATGACTGACGGTATTGGAACAATCAGCAATATGCGGTTCGCATAGTATAGTCTCTCCGTTGCAATTATTTAACGGGAGTTATCGAGTACAGTAATGTTCTTGTGCAGACAGGATGGGAGCATCAGAAAATATGATTCTCGCAATTTTCAGCACACCTTTACTTTCCAGCTATAAACCTGTTGTTATTAAGTACAGCAGTGTTCTTCAAATTATGTCAATCTAAAGCTTCCCGGCGGGGGCTGCAGCTGCTACTGGTGATTAATACGTTACAGTGTGAAGCCTCGTGCCTCACTGCCCCCTCCCCCCGGTGTGAACAGAAAAATAAGATGCGAAGGTTCTTCATCGGAGGAAGACGACAACGATGAAGCTCCTCCCTGGGCTCCTGCCATAAAGCAGACTCCTAAGAGACCTGCTTCGAAAAAGGATACTGCAGCCCTGACACCTGTGAAGTTTGCCGCAAGACAAGGAGAACAAGAAAGAGAAGTCGAAGAAGATCAGCGCTTGAGCTGAAAATACTATTTATGATTATCCGAGTCGTAATTGGCAGGTTTCCCTTTTTTGAAGGTTTCCGTCTTTTATTTGGTATGGACGTGCAATTGAACAAGACACTTATTCTCAGCCTACTCTTTTTTCTGTTCCAATGCCTTATGGTCCTATGCATGTGGATCTTTTCGACTTCTATCTTACCAAAAAGAGTATGATGTGCACCGACGAGCTCAGTTGTCTCACTTACCCCTTCCCCTCTATTTACGAGTTCGACTTTTAAACAGTCTCCTATGCCTAGCACTCTCATCATATATTATTCTTTACACTGTCCACATTCTATGTCATTTTATTGTCTCTCTCGTCTTCAGTCCGTGTTGGCATGTCTTCGTCTTTTCCTTCCGTATTTATGTGCTGATATCTTCACCGATTTACATTTCTTGGCCGTTACTCGCTTTCCTTGTCTTAAATATGCAGTACACACCATTTTGATATTTGACATTTGGGTTTAGTCACTCCGGCTCCTTCGGATATTTCAAATGTTGCGTCGGGCGAAGGAGGATTACTTCAAACACGAGGTTTCGTGGCCAATCAGTGATTACTAACTTGCGTTCATCGGCATGACCAGACTGGACAGCGTGAGTTTCGCAGATAACTAGAGCTACTTGGAAGCGGTTTGCACCGGCAAGGCCTGAACCAACCAAATGACACCCGTAGACTCCCGCTTCACAGTCTCGAGTTTTGTTGTGCTTTGAGTTGACAGACAGAACCGAAAATCAAATACACAATGTATTTGGCTTTACGATGCCCGCCGGGATACATTCACTGCCTTTAAACCAAGACCTTCCGATGATAAAGCCGCATTCTGACGATCTGAAACAAATATTACTATTGAACCTCTACTGTAACGATTGATAGTAGGTATAAGAAGGTAACGAGGCCGACTCTAAATCCATCAAAGTACATGCAGAAGTACAGCGCATGCCATCTCCTCTAGATTGTGTTCAAAATCTGAATTGCTCTGACACTCTGTCTATTGCCAAGCACATTGACACAATAACCATATCTGCATTTAACATTGCAAGGTATCATGCAATAGCAATTTTCGCCATAGTGTTCTATGACATTAGTACGTCGTACAATATTTTTTGAACTGTTGCAAAATTGACAGACATATCTTAGTTATTACACTAGACCAGGAGGTATAGAGATTTGTAAATATATTATTATATAATTACTAACATACCTTACATTCCAGATCAAATTCATTTGGGTATGAAACTACTTGAGAATATTATTGAAGTACTAATCTTCATTCAACAGTCCAATCTGTGGACAATCCCAAGTTTGGTCTTCATTTTGGTACAAGTTTAAGATTAAAAGACCACTCTTATATATATCTGACAATAATTTAGAATAGATACATTGGAGTAATTGGAGCAGTTGCAAATGTAATAAGTAAGTAATATATTTTATCTTACTAGGACTGTAAACCAGTATTAATTTAAAAATACTATATAATAGATCAAGCTTTTGGAAAATCTTCTAGAATGTAGTATTTTATTCACTAATTCTATAATTTGATTATTCTGAATACTTTCTTCTAGCTGTATGTTTTTTATAGTAGCATTTATTCATTTCTCACTACTCTGCCTTAGGTCAACTTTCCTCCTTAATATCATCATTTACTAGTATGTTTCTTAATCCTTTAACTTTACTTTTATTTTACTTATTAGAAAACTAGATTTTCTCACTATAGCTTTAGTTTTGTTCAATGTTGTCTAATGTCTTATCAAACTGTGATACATACCCTTTTACTGTAAACAATGTAGATATGTTTACAGCATGTGTCATTGTTGTTTGAACATTGTATTGTTCAGAAAGCACCTTCATAAGACTTCTAACACTTGTATGTGTTGTAAATTTCACATAAATTGTATCAGTTATTGTTTTTGTTATACAATGATACAAAACATTATCTGTACATATGCTAGCATCATTAGAGGAAGGGGGATTGTGCTCTAGATGATCTAAGAGCATCATGGCAGTGAGTGTACTGTGTATGTACAAGCACCATATCTTGTATCCCTTCACACCAGCCAACTTTTCTGTTCCCTCAAAGAACTTTGTAACATCAGAGTCCTTCATTATAGTATTAACAAAGGTATGCATTGTAGACAACATTGTAATGGGTTTGGGGGGAGAGGGAGGTCTTGGGCTTGGTGGTCTGGCAGGAGGCAAAGGCATTCTGTGAGAGCAAGTGTGTAAGGGCATTCAATGGGCACCAAGGCTCATAACCTTTTAACAAGTGTAGTAGGAGTGCCCCAAGTACTCTCTCTTATTGAGACATCAAGCAAGTATCTACCTTATATACTATATAGTGAAGTCTGATAATCTGAGACATTCTAAGTACAGTAATTCTACATAAGGTAATTGGGGATTTCCTAATCCAGAGCACAATCTAATAATGCACAATTGTAGTATTTGTTCAATGTTTTATTTGTTAATTGGTTTGCTAGGTAAAACATTTTATATATTGGTTTTATTTATTTTATTTGAATCATTGTATAGATATACCTATTAGTATCTATCTAATGTAATTCATAGTATTATAATGCTGTTCACACTTGTATTAATTGTACAGTGAGGGCAAATTAATTGTTTGTACAAGAATCAATTTAATAGTTTTATTTAATTATATGTATACACTCTATACTTGTTTATATAGTTATTATCTGTGTATCATTTGTTGTAGTTGTGAATTATATCACAATTATATTCTTATTATCCTATAGATATATTATTTGTATGTTCTGAAGTATTATTTTCGTTATTCATCACTTTTATCCATGAACTATAGTCTGAATTGATGAATTATTTTGTTATATAATGTGATAATTGTCTGTATATTATTTATTTTCATATTAAACACTGTTAAGTTAATTATATTATTATGTTAATATTATTTGCCAAGTATGAGCATTTGTTTCATAGTAGAATTATTATTTATTTAATGTTGAAGTTCAATTGCACATTGTGTTGACTTCTGTTATTTAGTTCCAATTAACATAGTTTTGCTTCATACCAAATGATTTACCTTTATGATCTGTTATGTCTGTCTGTAACTTCTATTACTTAGTCAGTGCTTAGTCTGTGCATTTTGTTATTCTATTTTTTGTAGTGTCTGTAGTGTTATACTTTCTGTTCTATTGTTTATATTTAGTTATTAATTTTTTGTGCATATTATCCATTTTCTCCCCTTCAATTCAAGAAGGTATTTCTTCAAAGAATTGGATATTTCTTTAATGTTTATTAATTGTTGTTATAATATAATATTTATATATAATAATTGTAATTGCTTTCATGGTTCGATTTCTAATTATTAGTATTTTAAAGTAGTGTGTAACGTTTGTTATGTTTGATAATGAGTAATTTTAATGTTATTACTATTATATCTTTGTTACTATTAACGTTTGTCAACTTATATAATGTGTATTTTGTTTGTTATAGTAGATAAGTACACATTATGTATAATATACAAGTTTTGTTCACACTTGTTATCTTTTATTAATAATTGTTCATAACTATGAATGAATATTTTGTTTTTGTGTTGAAAACATATGGTAATTTGTTTGTTTCTGTATAATATTTGTTTAATAACATTGTAATTATTATTTATGTAGTGCTTTTAGTAAATGTACTGAGTTCTATTAAGTATGCTTGTGTCTGTTATTGCCTATTTTATATTATACTGTCCAAGATAATAGCTTAAACATTTTATTAATTTATTTAATCATATTATATTATGATTGTTTTGATTGTAATTATTATAATAATGTGTTTGTAATAATTATATTTGTATTATTTGTTATAATAGGCTTATTAGCTTAATACTTTGCTCCTACAAGCTATGTTGTCACAATGTAAATTTAATAATTGTTTGTTAAGGTATATATGCTGTACAGTTAATGTTGCTGTTGCAACTTCAAAATTTATTATATAATCAACTGCTGTGAAAAGATGTTCTGTATAATTAAGTTGTATTGTTACATTGTTTTGAGTATAATAGAGATATGACTCTTTTGTTCATTGTTAGTATACATTTACACAATTGTATTAATGTGTAAAGTAGTATCATTTGTTTAATAATTATAATTTTGTACTTGTCTTGTACTGTAATTAGTATTTATGTGTTATAACATTATTCTTTTGTGTATAGTTTGTTTATATGCTCTGTAGTGTTGTTTTTTGGTTTGTAGTTATTCATTATACTTTTGTATATCTGTACTTGTCTGTATATCTTAGATATGTGTATTATATTCAGTATCCAATAAGTAATTACAATATCTGACATGTAACCACTGAATCCAATATGTTACATATAATTGCTTGACCATAATATGTGTTAGTTATTATATCATTCTGTATTTGTTCTGTTAGTTCTATCTGTATTATTATCATTATTATCATTATTATTATTGTTATTATAGTGTCTACAATTGTATTATTGTTTATAATGCATGTTAAATGATTTAGTTATTTGATTTAATATGCTGTTTAGCATATATGTACTCATTTTGAGTATTAATTGTTCAGCTATGATATTACTATATGTGTTATTATTTGATTTATACTATAACATATGTGTGCTTGTTGACAGTGTCAATCATTTGTACTATTGTAATGTTAATAGCAGAAGAGTAGCATTTGCTTTATTAATCTTTTTAATGTTTGTCTGTAGTATGATCAGTTAATTTATTATAACATAATCTTCATAATATTATAGAATATTTTAGCATTCAATAATTGCAGTAAGTGATACTCATTATAGTTTCAACATTGCCTGCATAGATTATGTTATTACTGGGCCAATGATCATAATCACTAAGATGACAATCATATAATGTCTGGGTTGTATGTAGTATGGTAGATTGTGTGTCTACAGTATATCAATTTGTATTTAGGATACTCAGACAGGTGAGTTGAGTTCTACATTGTAGTATACTATGTGCATACATGTGATGTGT